CTCACAGTCAGTTAGCTCAAGTAGTGCGGGAGTTAAATCGTACTATGTATAAGGAGTACGTTTGAATCACTCTAATATTATTCCCTCAAAGGTTTCAACAGTTTTATGTTCAGCATCCGCACAACAGTGTTAGGATCGCGTGATCAACTTTGCATTCACGATAGAGTGTGCAAGGAGCAGGATACAAGAGTGAAGGTTGGTTTAGACTAACTCCTCAGTTGCTGGCGCAACATATAGAAATTACAGACTGCTATGTGTCGCGGTATGGTCTCAAAGCGCACTTGTCACTACTACAATAATTTTGATAGTGGGTCCCACATTTCCTTGCATTAGTAGTTTATGATTCCTTCCGGAGCTCCCGTTTTGCTCCTGTTATAAGTTTGCTATGAACAATTTTCTGTACTTATGAGCTGTCATATTCTGAAAGTAGACTATACCATCATTTGCTGTTTTATCGCTGTCTCTGCATTTGCTGCGTCACAAAATAATTGTGTAGACGATTAAGAAGTTAGTGTGATGCGGTGTCCTAGCGGTCTGAAAAAGAAAGTATAGTTGCTAATTCTCTAAGAGACACGAGCGCGCTTTGCTTGCGACGGATTAACAAGTTCATGAGTACGTCCCAACGATTTCGGATGATTTACTATTAGGAATTCGTGAAGGATATCTGATGTTGAACAACGCGAGTTCAAATTCATTCTTTCACGAGTTCCTAATAGCAGTTCCAAAACGCGTTAGAACGCGTTCGTGACTTGTTAGAATGGCCTCGAGCAGAGGCTACGCGATTTTATCGCCTCGCGATTTTACTGAGAAGACAACAGTTACGAATCCATTACATTCCGATAATCTTAGATTTTGGATGTGACAGTTAGTCACGAATAGTCGTGTCGCAAAACCACCACAACGGGAATGCAAGATGATCGACATGCGATCGACTCGTAACTGTGGTCTGTTGGGGGAATCGCGAGGCGATGAAATTGCGTGAACTCTGTCCGAGGCGTCAGACTCATAATCAGAGAATGATTGATATGTTCAGTTATTATTTATTATTTGTTCGAAACAACTTCATAATGATGATCGTTGATGCCTGAAAAACTAATCGAACAACATCTAGGCTCAAACTTGGAGACGCTCAATGAGTTATTCACCATGAAAGGAGGAGTACCAGACATTGAAGACATGATTAGTGTAGGAAAAAAGAATAGGTATCTTCAATGAAGCATTTGTGTTTGTGGTGCTTGACTGCAGTAAAATATTTCTGTATATTGTTTTGGCTTCCAGAATTTGTCCGTTTTACCGTTGTCGCCAAATGCAAGAGACGGCTGAATTGGTGCTTTTGCCCTACAATTACATAATCGATCCACATCTGAGGAAAAT